TTCTGCTGGGACTTACTATTTTTTATTTGTTTCAAATGTATTCATAATGGCTCACTAAAGTTTTTTTCGTTTTTTGTTTGTTTTTTAAAAAAAGATGATGGGTAAGGGGATCTTAACCCTTGACTTGGTGGTGTCAGCACCACGCTCACCCAGTGAGCTAACCGGCCATCCCTATATGGGATCAGAACCCGTGGCCTTGGAGTTATCAGTACCACACTCTCCCAAGTGAGCCACGGGCCAGCCCCTCACTAAAGTTTTTATATGATAATTTAAAATCCTTGTCAAGTCCTTGTCAGATAATTTCAATATCTGTGTCATCTCGGTGTTGGCATCTGTTGACTGTCTTTTTTCTTTTGAATTGAAATTTTCCTGGTTCTTGGTATGACAAGTTATTTTCAGTATAGCCTACACATTTTGGGTGTTATGTTATGAGACTCTAGTTTCTGTGTAAATTTTGTTACCTGTCACTGTCAGACTGGGTAGTAGCCAGGCTTTGTTTATACACACAGCATCTATAGACACCTATAGCAGGAAAGCCTCCTCACTGCCAGGGTGGGATGGTTGATGGGCTCAGCTCTCAGGCACAACTTCTTCCCATTTTTGAAGTCACAATGTTTCTATTTTTTCTAAACATATAACATTTACAAATTATTCTTCTACTCTTATGCACTTAAGTAGATGAGTAGTTTGTGTTAGACCATGATCTACAACGAAATATATTAAATGCTCATTATCAGTCCTTTTGTTGAAGTTCCAATCATGTGTTAGATGAATGAAGCTCATGCTGTAGTAAAGGGATCGGTAAATTTGTAAAGATTCAGAGTAAATATTTTAGGCTTTGTTGGCCATATGGTCTCTGTCTCACTGACGTGGACTACCCTCTCCTCTTCACTGAAGTTTTGCAGAGGCTTGGGGAAGGAAGTCCAAATGAAAGGTAGAATTTAATTTTTTCTCCTCTTACAGATAATTTGAAATTTTTAGTGCTCTCTGACTCCTAGTAATGCTGCAGGTTTGGGTTTTATGCAGTTTTATTTGTTCTTCCTATTCATCTGTGTGCTTTTGAAGCATATAGATGTCCGTAGATGCTGTGTGTGTAAACACCTGTGAATTCAGGTGGCTCCTATTATTTTAAGGCAATAAGATGTATTAATTTATATACCCTAATAGGAAACATATCTGGATTTTGCATGAGATAAGACCAGTGCTTATATTCCTCTGTGAACAAACAAAGCCACTTAAGCTCTTTAACATTGAATGAGACACCAAATCTCTGAGCCTGTTTTGTTTTTTGTTTATGGGGGTTTTTTTTTCCCCCTTTTTATTTACAAAATTAGGATGGGCATAAGACATGGTTTATACTCCATGCTTTCAGTTGGGGATGTGTTTTAAAGTCTCTGCAAG